GGCCGCCTTCAGGGGCTGCCAGGGGCTTCTCCTACCAGCTCTAGGCCCCGGGGTCCACCCTCAGGACGGCTGCCATCCACCCTTCTGGTCTAAGGCTCCCCTTCAGGTGGGCTCACTGTGGTTCTTCAGCTCCTCCCTTCGGGCATCCTCCTTGCTGGGTAAGAGCCTCTCTCCCTCTCTGGCCCCTCTCGAGACCTCTCCTGGGCCCAGCACACACACACACACACACACACACACGTCTCCGTTTGCCTTGTCCCCCCTTCTCAAGGCCCCTCCTGGTCCTGGAACCACACACACACACGTGTCTCCGTTTGCCTGGTCTCCACTCCCAGGTCCTCCCTGTAGGGGGACCAAAGAGGGGGTCCCCACCCCCGGGGAGGCCCGCCCCTGCACTGTGCAGCAGCAGCCTGTTTTTCCTGAAGGCTGAAACAAGGAAACACACCCGCTGAGCCTCCGCAGAGCAGGGAGTTCCCCATCTGTCCGCTCTGAGCAGCGCCCGATGTCCTGATTGTCACTGAAGCCGGAGCTCAGGTGGATGTGGCTGCTCGGAGCTGGAGCTGGAGTTCGAGAGAGGCCGGCTGGCACCCAGCCCCAAGCTACCCCCGAAGGCGGCTCCTCCCTCCTGTTCTCCACGCACTCAGCGTCCACTCAAGCCTGCCCTCCAGGAGCTCAGGTCCAGGCTCCGCAGCCCCTCCTCCAGCCCACGGCCACTTGTGCCCCCCATCCCCTGCAGTCATCTGCCATCCCTCACCCCTGCCCCACCTATCTCCGCAGTCCTGGCTCAGTCCTGGGGGCCGGAGGATGGGGGGCTTGGTCTTCCTGGCCCCAAGTAGGGGGGTCTCAGAACCTTCTCTTCTGAGCGTGCCCCCCCCCGCCTCTCTCCTTGCTCACTGAAGCCCCCAGCGAGCACCCAGCTTGGCCACCACTGACATCTGTGCCCACAAGAAGGGTAACAGGGGACTCCCCTGGTGGTCCAGTGGCTAAGATTCTGATCTCTCAATGCTCGGGCCCTGGGTTTGATCCCTGGTTGGGAAACTAGATCCCACATGCCACAATGAAGACCCTGTGCAGCCAAATAAATAAAAATAAATATTAAAAAAAAAAAGTGTGACAGGTTGGTCCCTGAGGGCCTCACGGGCTGCACGGAAGAGCTGGGATTTTGTTCCAGGTGAGGTGGGGACCGTGGAAGGTTTTGAGCCCGAGGAGGGTCAAGGTCCCACACACGTCTCACCAGGATCCTTCAGCTGCCTCGTGGACAGGGGACTGCGGGGGCCTGGGCCAGGGCGGGGGGGGGGTCGCCGGCCCTCCTGGCTCCCCGCACTATCCCCGGGGCCACGTGGAAAAGGTAGATTGCCAGCCAGGCGGCCTCCTCCTGCTCTGGCTGGTTTTGGCTTTTCCAGGAGCAGCTCCGCGGCCCCGTGGGCAGTGTGTCTGCCTCAGCTCGACCCCAGCCCTGGCCTCTGCGTCGGGCCGTGGGAGTCAGGAGACTAGAGGGCAGCTTTGCTCCAGGCAGTTTCCCCCCTTAAGCAGTTCATTAAACCGCCTTCTCAGGGGCAGGGGCCTCTGCGTCCCCACCCCCACCGCAGCCCGTACTCCAGTTCAGAGCTCTCCCTGCTGTGCTCGGAGGCTGGGCCTGGAACCGAGCTGGGAGGCTGTGGGCTGTCCTCTGAGCCCGGGGGGTGGGGTGTTCCTGTGAGCCCGGGGGGCCCGCGAGCCCGGGGGGGTCCTCTGAGCCAAGGGGGGTCCTCTGAGCCCGGGGGGTCCTCTGAGCCCGGTGGGGCCCGTGAGCCCGGGGGGGTCCTCTGAGCCCGGGGGGCCCGCGGGCCCGGGGGGGTCCTCTGAGCCCGGGAGGGCCCGTGAGCCTGGGGGGGTCCTCTGAGCCAAGGGGGGTCCTCTGAGCCCGGGGGGCCCGCGGGCCCGGGGGGGTCCTCTGAGCCCGGGGGGGCCCGTGAGCCCGGGGGGTCCTCTGAGCCCGGTGGGGCCCGTGAGCCCGGGGGGTCCTCTGAGCCCGGGGGGGTCCTCTGAGCCCGGGGGGGCCCGTGAGCCCGGGGGGATCCTCTGAGCCCGGGGGGGCCCGTGAGCCCGGGGGGGTCCTCTGAGCCCGGGGGGGCCCGTGAGCCCGGGGGGGTCCTCTGAGCCCGGGGGGCCCATGAGCCTGGGGGGGTCCTCTGAGCCCGGGGGGCCCGTGAGCCCGGGGGGGTCCTCTGAGCCCGGTGGGGCCCGTGAGCCCGGGGGGGTCCTCTGAGCCCGGTGGGGCCCGTGAGCCCGGGGGGGTCCTCTGAGCCCGGTGGGGCCCGTGAGCCCGGGGTGGTCCTCTGAGCCCGGGGGGGCCCGTGAGCCCGGGGGGGTCCTCTGAGCCCGGGGGGGCCCGTGAGCCCGGGGGGTCCTCTGAGCCCGGGGAGTCCTCTGAACCCGGGGGGGCCCGTGAGCCCGGTGGGGTCCTCTGAGCCCGGTGGGGCCCATGAGCCCGGGGGGGTCCTCTGAGCCCGGGGGGGCCCGTGAGCCCGGGGGTGTCCTCTGAGCCCGGGGGGTCCTCTGAGCCCGGGGAGTCCTCTGAACCCGGGGGGGCCCGTGAGCCCGGTGGGGTCCTCTGAGCCCGGTGGGGCCCGTGAGCCCGGGGGGGTCCTCTGAGCCCGGGGGGGCCCGTGAGCCCGGGGGGGTCCTCTGAGCCCGGTGGGGCCCGTGAGCCCGGGGTGGTCCTCTGAGCCCGGGGGGGTCCTCTGAGCCCGGTGGGGCCCGTGAGCCCGGGGGGGTCCTCTGAGCACGGTGGGGCCCGTGAGCCCGGGGTGGTCCTCTGAGCCCGGGGGGGCCCGTGAGCCCGGGGGGGTCCTCTGAGCCCGGGGGGGCCCGTGAGCCCGGGGGGGTCCTCTGAGCCCGGGGGGTCCTCTGAGCCCGGTGGGGCCCGTGAGCCCGGGGGGGTCCTCTGAGCCCGGTGGGGCCCGTGAGCCCAGGGGGTCCTCTGAGCCCGGTGGGGCCCGTGAGCCCGGGGTGGTCCTCTGAGCCCGGGGGGGGCCCGTGAGCCCGGGGGGTCCTCTGAGCCCGGTGGGGCCCGTGAGCCCGGGGTGGTCCTCTGAGCCCGGGGGGGGCCCGTGAGCCCGGGGGGGTCCGCTGAGCCCGGTGGTGCCCGTGAGCCCGGGGGGGTCCTCTGAGCCCGGTGGGGCCCGTGAGCCCGGGGTGGTCCTCTGAGCCTGGTGGGGCCCGTGATCCCGGGGGGGTCCTCTGAGCCCGGGGGGGTCCTCTGAGCCTGGTGGGGCCCGTGAGCCCGGGGGGGTCCTGTGAGCCCAGGGGGGTCCTCTGAGCCTGGTGGGGCCCGTGAGCCCGGGGGGGTCCTGTGAGCCCAGGGGGGTCCTGTGAGCCCAGGGGGGGTCCTGTGAGCCCAGGGGGGGTCCTGTGAGCCCAGGGGGGCGTCCTGTGAGCCCGGGGGGGTCCTGTGAGCCCGGGGGGGTCCTGTGAGCCCAGGGGAGTCCTGTGAGCCCGGGGGGGTCCTGTGAACCCAGGGGGGTCCTGTGAGCCCGGGGGGGTCCTGTGAACCCAGGGGGCATCCTGTGAGCCCATGGGGGTTTTCCTGTGAACCCAGGGGGCGTCCTCTGAGCCCATGGGGGGGTTCTATGAGCCCAGGGTTCCCATGAGCCTAGGAGGGGTCCTGTGAACCCAGGGGGTCCTGTGAGGCCAGGGTGGTCCCATGAGCCCAGGAGGAGGGTCCCGTGAGCCCAGAGGGGGGTCCTGTGAGCCCAGAGGGGGGTCCTGCTGCCCTAGCAGAGGAGCTAGGGCTTCTTCCGGACGTCAGTCTATGGCCCTGGCCCCGCTCCCCCAGCCCTTCTATCCCTGCAGGGCCTGGGCCGGGGCAGGTACTGACCTGCTGAGCGGACGGTGTTGCCCACAGCCACCCTCCCGGGCAGGCTGGGGTTTGGGTGCCCAAGCCCCCGAGGGACCTCTGGGGCCGCCCTGGGTGTGGGGAGGGAGGACGAGCAAGCAGAGGAGGTGAGGAGGGGATGGAGGGAACAGGGGAGGAGGGCACTCCTGGTGCTCCCCAGCCTCAGCCCTGGTGTGCCCGTGAGACGGGGTGCTGCGGGCGCTGCTGAAGGTGAAACGAGGGGTAACAGGAGCACACACTCGGGCAGCAGGAAGGTCTCAGGATCAGTCACTGAGGAGGCACGGGCCTGAGCTTCTGCCACACAAAGGGACCCCTCTGCACTCCCCGGGGAGAGCCCCAGGAACCAAGCCGTGCAGCTAGGCCGGGATGGGCAGGGCTGGCCTCGGGCAGCTGGGCAAGCCGGGAAGGGACTGGTCTGCCCCGATCCCCAGGGGGCAGGGCTGGGGCCTAAGGCAGATGAAGAGGAGGAGGGTGGGTGGGAACAGGCCAGGTGGAGGGGGACTCTGGGGAACCGGGCTGCAGGGTGGACGGAGGCACCGCTGAGGCCCTGGGGGTGGGGGAGCGTTGAGGAGGGGGGCGTTGGGAGGCAGCAGTTGGCATGCTGAGTGTCAGGGGCAGGCTGAAGGGGAAACACCCTCAGGGGCCTCGTGGGGGGAGGCAGAGAGCATCAGTCTGTCCAACACCTGTCTTGCCAGCAACCCCTCCTCCCCTGCCCCCCTGATGCCCAGATCTCCCTCCTCACTTGCGTGTGCCCTGACCCTCCCAGCCCCAGGCCCCCAGACCGATGACCAGCCCCTGGGCCTCCAGGTCGGTCTCCCAGCCCAGCCTCTGCATGGTTCATTCTTGCCCACACCCTGTACCTCCCACGCCAGCCCCCCAGTTCCACTTTGCACGGCTGCTTTGTCTTTGGCCTAGCCGGGCAGGGGGCGAGGGGTGGGGGGCATTTGTACAGTTGCTCTTTTATTCATCTACTCTGCGACGTGTGTGCACACAGTACTGACAAGTGTCCCCTTTGGAACCTCCTGGCGGCTCAGGCTGGTACAAGAGAGCCCGTGCGTCCCTACAGGGTGAGGCCCAGGGATGGGAGGTGTCCAAGAAAGCCCTTGGAGACGGAGGGAGTGCCCACCTGCAGAGGGAACAGCTTGGGCCAAAGCCAGGAGACATGGCACGCTTGAGGGGTGTGAATGGACTGCGGAACAGGTGGGGGCCAGCCTCTTATATGTGAGGGCAAGGTGATGGGAAGCCCTGGAGCCTCACTTCCAGATAGATCAAGTTCTTGGGAGGGAGAGGCTGCCCCAGGGCCTCTGGTCCAGGGCAAGACCCATGGGCAGGCGGAGCTCATCCTAGAGATTTTCATAGACCAGGTTAAATTCACCGTCACCCTCAAATTTTCGCTGTTTCTCCTGGAAAGAAAAAAAATAAAGAAAGAAATGGTAGGTAGGAGAAAGATAAATTTGCACTAATTTAGTTTCAGGCAAAGGCAGACAAATAGACGGCTTTCTAAGTAGCTTTGACCGGGAGCCCTGTCATTGTCCCCAAGCCCACCTCAACAGCCTCCTCTCCCGTCCTCCCACCCCACGCCTGCTCGCTGCCTTCCAGCCCCACGGGCCTCTTCTTTCCTGCCTTGGGCCTCCCCAGATGCTCTTCTCTCCTCTTGGGGTGCTCCCAGGACCCTATCTGTTCCCCGATGACCTCCTCCTCCTACAGAGCTCAGCTCAGCATGCCAAGAGCCCCCTCCTCAACTCTAGGCTAGTCCCTCCCCAGAGCCCACCGTTCACAGATGTTTCTGTGTGTCTGTAAGAATCCATGACCCTGTTCCTGCAGACCCAAGGATGCTGGGCAACTGGGACAGGTCTAGTTGTCCTGGTCAGGATCTCAGGGCCTGGCATACAGTGGTCAATCCCTGGGTCGGCCCAGGGATCCTTGGGTCCCAGGGTGGGGAAGCCTTGCCTACAGTCACAGCCTAGTTCAGAGATGACAGTAGAAAGAGCTTTGAGAACAGGAGATTCAACAGCCTATTCCAGGGGGCCCAAGCACCTGTCCCCCTCACTTCCAGAAGGTTCTTCCCAGGTGCCCAGCCATAGTCCTTGAGCCTCTTGCACTTCATGGTGTCAGAGCTCTGGTATAGATGCTACTTAACTTGGAACTCATTTGAATTCATGGGCAGTTGGTTTTGCAGGAAAGTGTCATGCACCCACTTGACAGATGAGCAGACTGAGATTTAAGAGAGACTCATGATCGAGGGATGTGCCTTAGCCCCCTTCATGATAACAAAGCTCTGCCCAGACCGGCCCTGGCTGCCGCCAGCACAGTCTCCAGCCACTTTCAGCCTGGGGACAGCGAGAAGCCTCACACCCCTGCCTGAATGACAGGTGTAGACACTCTACTGTGCCCAGCGGCGGTTACGCTTGCTCCCTTGCACGGTGCCTACTGGGTCGCAGTACAACCTGTGATCCTCATGGCAAGTCTAGGAGGTGAATGCTCTCAGGGTCCTCAGTTTACAGATGTGGGCACAGAGGTTAGCCGCTTGGCCAGGGTGGCAGAGCTGGAAAGGGGTGGTGCCGGGGTGGGGGGTAAACCCACCAGGCCTCCTAAGCACCAGGCCAGCCGCCTCAGGCGAGGGCTCTGCTTCAGCAGCGGGTGGCTCACCCCCCCGGCACACGGCGGGCACTTCCCAGATGAGGGGCAGGACACACAGAAGGAGAGGAGGAGCCAGGCTTGCTGCCCCTGCGTACCTGGGAGAGCAGGCCCTGGGAGGAGGGCGGGCTGCCGGCTTCATTCCCGATGCAGTCGTAGATCTCGGACTCACGGTGCTGTAGGTCCTGCAGGAGACCCGTGAGGTCAGAGGACGCCCACGGCGCCCAGTCTCACTCCTCTCGGTCACACGGCCGCACCTTTGCACCCACCGTTCCCTCTTGGGCCATCTCACCCCCCTGTGTACAGTGCCACTCCTCTGGGTGCCCCCTGCCACCCCCTCCCGCCACCTCAAGCCTCTCGTGGAGCCTGTGCCCAGCCCGGCGGGCTCTCCAGGCCTCCAGTTCACGGGCAGGAGGAAGGGCCCAGGCCCATACCCGCTGTCCCTGCCTGTCCTTAGGGCCTCGGGCACCTGGCAGCCAGCAGTCCCCTGGCATGACTCCCATGGCCAAGGCTCCAATAGGATGCTCTGTGGACATCCCCCCCTCGCTCCCTGGACCAAAGCCTGGCCCCTGGGAGGGTCCCACCTATCCCTCCAGCCCTCTAGCTCTCCCTTGACCCCTGCCCCCGGGCTGTGCTCATAGAGGACCCAGGCTCACCCTGGAATCACACTCCTCTCCCGCAGAGGTGCCTAGTCTGTCTCTCGGTCACCGTGGCTGCGGTGGGGACCCTTGGAGAACAGCCCTGAATGAGCTGTGGTGAGGGGGCTCCTCGCTCACCCGGGTGTGTGTCTTAGGGCCACACTGACTCTCGGTCCAGCTCTGAACAGCCTGACCAGAAGCCTCAGGATGGTATTCATAGAAAGACACGATTTCTTGTTTGAAATCAGACAAGATTAGGCTCAACTCTCAGCTCTGACACCTGCCAGGCACAGGCAACTGGGAGCCTCCCTGTGCCTCAGTTTCCTCATCTGTAAAATGGGAATAACTATGTCCATCTTGCAGGCTCAGTGGATGATTCAATGAGATATGGTGCACAAAGGGCCCAGCATAGGGTCTAGTGAGTCACACGTGCTTAATAACGACTGAATGATCATCAAGGGAGGCTTCGGGCCTCCCTCCCCTCTCTGCAGTCACAGCCTAGACCCTCGCTCAGACCCTGATGGGCACCAGGGTGGATGCTGCTCCTTGGGGCTTGTTGGAGCAGAGCCACCAACAGCCTATGCAAGAGGCAGGAACCTTTCCTTCCCACGTGTACATGTCATATGGATGCCGGCTCGTTGCCAAGGAGGTGGTTTCCCTGGCAACAGGCAAGCAGGGGTTGCTGAGGAAGGCTGGAGAGACAGGTGGTACTCTGAGGCAAGAGAAGGGAAGGGAGGTAAGGAGGGGTGGGAGGAGGCTCTGAAGCAGCGGGGCATGAAAACCTGTGTAATAAAGCATTTGGCACTTGGGAGACCCTCACTTCAAGGGCATCACACACAGGGATGGCAAGGCTGCTCTAGGGACCTCCGATCAGAAAGAGGGAGGGTCTTGGAAGAGGGGCTTCCGACCTGCCTGAGGGAGCAGGGAGGCCCCAGGGAGGAGCCCCAATTCCAGTGAAAGGCATCTTCCGAGACCTGCTCTGGCCTGCTGGGCTCTGACTCCTGCCCAGAGCACCAGCCACCACGGGCAAGCCTGACACACGGGGTGTGGGTTTCCCCAGCCGCCCTGCGCCCCCCCCCCCCTCCACCCACCCAGTCCTGGAGCTCCGAAGATCTGACAGCCGCCCTCCCACCAAGCTGGATGCTCCTGGTCACAGAGAGAAGCAATAAAAAGGGCCTGTTTGCTGACATGTGGGCAGAAGACCAGACCTCAGGCCCCCCAGAGGGTCCCCTTCTCCCTCAGGTCCAGGGTCCATGGGCCACCCACCACTTTTAGCCCAGAGACGCCTGGAGCTGTCTCAGGTCACACAGCCCCTCCTGCCCTCTGTGCTGTGTGCTCCCACCGGCCTGGGCACGCGGCTAAGTGATTTCCAAGCCAGAGAAGAGCATCCTGACCCGGGGGCCCCGCAGGCCTCTGACCCACCCTGGCAGTGGTCAGGCTGTGGGCGGGAGCAGCTGCGGGGCTGAGGACAGGGCGGCTGCAGAAGCGGCTGTCAATTAGCAGCTGCTGAGTCAAGCCTTTGACAAGCCCTGGCCTGCTGGGCTGCATCTGCATGCCGGCTGGGACCTGCATCACTAGGCTGTGAAATGCAGGCAACCTTGTCACCAGGATACCTTCTTGGCCTTCCGGGGGGGGGGGGGTGACGGGGGCCGCCTCCCTCCGCGGAGAGAGGGCCAGGCCTCTGAACCGGCTGCTGGGCTGGGCTGGGCTGATGCTGTGCTTTGCGGGCTGGCCTGGACAGTGCTGGGAGGTGCCACGCTGCTGTGTTGTGCTTTGCACAGAGGATGGGTCGGGCTGGGCCACTCGTCTGGGATCCAGGCCCCCTGAGCCCCTGCTTCCTGCCGCCTTGTATGGACAGTGGTGCTGAGCTGAGTGGTCATCAGCCCTGGCAGAGGGGTGAAGTCAGCGCCGAGGCCTTTGTCCTGGCGGGCTGAGCTCAGAAGTCAGCAGCCCTGGACCAAGACCCAATCTGAGGGTCCTGGACACTGATTCCCCCAGTAATACCCACAGCCGTCACCAAGGAGACACAGAGCTGTGTCTCATGCACACCTGAGATTTGCCTGATGCCCTCTGGGAGCTTCCCTGTGGCTCAGCTGGTAAAGAATCTGCCTGCAGTGCGGGAGACCTGAGTTCGATGCCTGGGTTGGGAAAACCCCTTGGAGAAGGGAAAGGCTACCCACTCTGGTATTCTGGCCTGGAGAATTCCATGGACTGTAAAGTCCATGGGGTTGCAAAGAGTCGGACACGACTGAGCAACTTTCACTCACTTCACTCTGGGGGCAGATCTGGGAGCCCTGTTCAGCAAAAAGCGATACTCAGGAGGGACAGAGCACTTCTGCTCTAGGTCAGGATCTTGGCATGTCTGAAGCGAATGGTCCACGGCGCTGACGGAAGTCCGGGAAGGCAGGACTGGGCTAGGCCTCCAGTGAAGGCCTCATGTGCTGGTTGAGGAGCTGGCAGTGGGGAGTCACTGGAGGTTTCTGGGTGGGAAGCGACAGCATCAGGGGTGTGCTGGAAAGGCCCCTCTTCCTGCCAGGAGGAGTGGGAGGGCTGGAGGCTGAGCACGAGAACGAGGGCACTGGGCCAGGCGAAAGCTGGAGCGGCGCTGAGGGGAGGCATCCAGATGCCCCTGGGGAATGTGAAACTACAACCCTGACGCCCCACATTCGCCATTGAGTGCCCACTCTGCCTAGCACGGAGCCCCCCAGGGAACCCCAGGCACCCGGGAGCTAAGAGAAGGCCTCCACTCAGCTGACTGCTGAGTGCCTGCTATGTGCTAGGCCCTGGGGCCCCAGACAGACCACAGTCGGAAAGTAAACAGTGGCCGTAAGGGCCACGGAGAGACCTGGAGAAGGAAGGCAGGGAGGCTGGGTCACGGTAGGGGGTGGGGGGTGAGGAGGTCAGAAAGCCCTCCCTGCAAAGGTGCCCCCGAGCGGAGAGATGGGAGTGAGGGAGGGGCCCCACGGACAGCTCCAGACCGAACCCTGGAGCGGGGGGGGCGCACACACAGCCAACACCAAGGCCCCACCACAGGGTGGAGCGGGGGCAAGCCTGGCGTGTCTGGAGAACAGCAAGGAGACCAGCGTGCCGGAAGCAAGTGAGTGCCCCGGCGGACGGCCTGTGGGTAGAGCTTTCCAAGAAGAGTCAGGTCTCCAGTGCCCACTCTGAGTGAGGTAGAAATCCACCTCACTAGACGGTCTTGAGAACGTGATACGCAGACCTCTAGCTCCAGGGACCATCAGCACCCACCCAGGGCCCCGGCTGCTGGGCTATGAGATCCACATGTGCACAGAGGCCACACCCCTGTGGGCTGCCCCCAGCCAATGGCTGAGCCCGGCAGGGATGCCATCCCTGCCTCTCCCGCCCTGGGGAACCCCCAGACCCCTCTGACCCGGCTCCCAGGGGCCTTGCTGAAGCTTCCCTAGACTGTGCGGAGGTGAGCACATCCTCTCTGCCTTCCTTCACCCTTTTCTTTACCCGGAACCAGATCAGCATCAGTCGGACAGCTCTCCCAGTGGTTTCCATTTGCTCTCACTGGCGGTTCCCGGAATACCACTATCACACATGTACTCCTGCCTTGGTGTCTGCTTCTCAGAGGACCGAGGCTCACCAAGGGCTCAGAGCAGAGCAGGATGGGACCTATGTTTGGAGGGGGTGACTCCGCTGCTGCTGATTGGAGCACAGACGGTGGGGCTAGGGTAATAACGGGCCAGCTGATTAGAAACCAATTGCAGCGGGGACTTCCCTGGTGGTCCAGTGGTTAAGACTCCATGTTCCCAATGCAGGGGCCCGTGTTCAGTCCCTGGTCAGGGAACTAGAAGCCACAGCTAAGACTTGACACAGCCAGATACAAGAAAGAAAGAGAGAGAGAGAAAGGAAGGAAAGAAGAAAGAAAGAGAAGCCAAATGGAGGGCTCCAGGCAAGAAATGGTGGTGGTTCCCACCAGCGTCAGCCCTGGAGGGGTGAGAAGATTCAGATTCCGGATATGTCTGAAGTTAAGTTGTGCTGATAGACCTGATAGGAGCAGTGATGGAAGGAGAGAAGGAAAGGACAGCTTCAAAAGGTTTAGCCTGAGCAACAGGAAGGATGGAGCGACCATTCCCTGCATGAGGAGGACTGCGGGAAGAGGCAGTTCCATAGGTGAAGAACCAGAGACTGGTATGAGAGAGAAGCTGATGAGGGGTCCAAATAGAGCTGGTTCCAGCGTTCAGAGGAGGTGTCTGGGCTGGATATAGAAATGAGGGAGCTGTCAGAGTATAGACGGTCTCAAAAGGCTGAGGCTGCATGAAATCACCCAGGGAAGGGAGAGAAACTCAAAGAGAAAGGGCTCCAGGCCTGGATTCCAACGTTTAGAGGTCAGGATTCCTCTGGATTCCTCTGGTGAAGGAGGCTGAGGATGTATGGCCGTGAGTCAGAGAGGCATCACGGGAGGGTGGAATGTTTTGGAAGCAAGTAGACAAAGCATGTCCAGGAGGAGGGAGTGCTCGCTGGCCTCAGACACTGTGGCTCATCAAGGAAGAGGAGGACCCACGGACCACTGGGTTTAATATCAGGGAGGTCAACAGTGACCTTGAGAAGGAAGGCTTTGGTGGGCAGAAAGTCTGACTCAGTGGATCGGAAAGGAGAGAGAGAGAGAAACTGGAGACAGGATTTTGACAGACCTTTTAAAAGGAGTCATGGAGAAAGGGCAGGGTCACTGGAGGGGGCTGCCGGCTCAAAATGAGAAACTTAAGATGGAAGAAATCGTAACATGTTTGCAAACTGTAGGTGGAAAACTGTATATCAGCCCTGTATCACAGATTATGGAACCAGGACTCAGAAAGTTTAAGTAGCAGAACTCATGAACAAAAAAACTAAGCTTTGCACCCCAGTCTCTCTGGCTCAATCCAAATCCATGCTCCTTAATCGGTCAATTTTCACACACACACACACATACACATGCAAACTGGAGTAGGATAGCCTTTTCTCTTCTTGTCATGTATCATGAGCATTTTCCCACATGAATGAAAAACAAAAATCGACTTAATTAGAAGGAGAAATATACAATCTACAATCACATGGGCAGATTTTAACTTGATTCACTTAACATCTAATAGACAAAAAGCCAATGAGGATATGGCATACTTTAACAACACAATCGATAAGCTTGACCTCTCTGACGCACACAGAACACTCACTCACTCAGCCATGCACAATGCAAGTTCTTTTCAAATGCATTTGAAATGTAAGCTGACCTAAAGCAGATCTCTAAAGACCTCAAAGGATTGAAATCATACAGAAGGTATTCTCTGATCACAATAGAATTAGTAAGAAATAAAAAACAACAAAAACTAGAAAATAATTAAACACTTGAAAATCAAGCAAACCATTTTAAAATAACTCATGGGGCAAGAAGGAAATCTCAGTGGGAAATTTAAACTGAATAACGAAAATATGGCATATCAAAATTTGTGGGATGCAGCTAAAGCCACTTTTAAAGGAAAGTTCATAGCTTTAAGTGCATGAATTAGGAAAGAAGGAAGGTTGAAAATCAATGATCAAAGTAGTCAAAGAAAATAGAGAGGGACTTCCCTGGTGATCCAGTGGCTAACACTCCGTGCTCCCAATCCTGGGGGTCTGAGTTCAATCCCTGGTCAAGGAACTAGATCCCACCTGCTGCAACTAAGAGTTCAAGTGCCACAACTAAGGATCCTGCATGTCACAACTAAGACCCAGTGCAGCCAAATAAATAAATACAACAAAAGAGAGAAAGAAAGTAGAGAGGGGAAGTACACAAAGGTCTTCCCCTGTCCACTGTCACCACTCCTATTTACCATCACTGTCTGAGGCAGTGCAGTAAGATAAGAAATACAAGGTATGAAGGTTAAAAAGAAAGAAATGAAACTTTTATCATTCATAGATGACATGGCTGGGTCCGTAAAAAATACAAAGGAATTCACAGAGAAAGAATTAGAATTAATTAGTGAGTTCAGCAAGGTTACTTTTTATATAGTCAACATACAAAAATCAATCATATAAAAAAGAATCAATCATATCTCAACTTACCAGCAACAGACAACTAGAAAATAAAAGGGGACAACACACATATCCTAAAGCCCTATTATGAGTATTGATAAGATAACAGGTGTACCGTGGCACCAGGCATGTAGTAAGTACTCAACAAACAACCCCTGACATCATCATCAAGCTTGTTCATGTCATTCTTACCTGCCCAGGTCCAACCCTAGCTACTAGAGACAGGTCTCAAGGGCTAGCAGAGTCTGTGGCCTCTCTTCCCAGCTCCTTTCCAGCCCTAAAGCCTCTTGAACCACCCAGCAACCTGGCAGAGCCATCAGACCTCCTCCCCACACTCCAGCAAAGTTAGCCTGAGTCTCCGAGAAGTCTAAACACAGGCAAGAGAGATGCTCCATGCAAAAGTGAGTCTCTTCCATTAAAAATAACCTTGGAGAAGGATATTTATTCATGTGAAAAGATGTTCATGAGATATTGTAACAAAAATAGCAGTACTACTCCAATTTTCTTTAAAAAAAAATGTGTGTGTGTGAGTGTGTGTATGGGTCTCTCTGTATGTGTTTACAGAAAAGACTGGAAGGTATAGAAGTCAATGTTACTAGTATTTATCCTGGAAGAAGATAGGTTTAGGATGATGGTTATTTTCTTCTATTTGATATATATAGAAAGATTGTGTGTGTGTGTGTGTGTGTGTGTGTGGAGAGAGAGAGAGAGAAGTGTTTCTATTTAACAGCTGACATCAGAATTCCTCCTAGGGAAAATACCATGATGAGCTGCTGGGAGGAAAGAGAGACTATGGGGAAGTCTGGGGCCATGTGGGAAGCAGTGAGTGCTGGAAATTCCCTGGGGTGGGAGCGGGGACAAAGGCCCTGGGAGGGCTGGTAGTATTGTGTCCCCTCTGGGGTCATTGGTGCTGCCCTGAAGGAACCCTGTCTTTGCCTCATCCCCAGCCACCTCATCCTTGATAATCGGGGTCATATTCTCAACACCCTCTGTGTGGGGATTTTCGGACATTGAGGAAAGACCCGTGTTTCATGTACGGGTCAGGGTGGTGGGGACAGGAACAGCTGAAGCTCGTACTGGCAGAGTCCCAGAACATGCCCTGGGGTACCCTGCAGGACCCCTGGCATGGCTGTGCACCTCCCAGGTGGGAGGCCAAGACCCGCACCTGGCGGGACCCAAAAGTCCCGTGGAGTTGAGACCGCAGCTGACGTTGGGTAGCCCTTATTCTTCACTTTCTCAACAATGAGTATATGTTCCTCGTTCAGCTAAAATAGATGCAACTGAAAAGGAAAATCTGTCGCCACCCCAGCCCCTGGGCAGAGTGGCTGCGTGTTGACCAGGTGGGCGGGCCCGGCTGGGCAACAAACAGCACCCAGCTATGCCTCTGCCTGGCTGTAAGGACATAAAACAATGTGCGTGCATGTGTGTGTGTGTGTGTGTGCGCGTGTGGTGGGGAAGGGGAGAGTGAAGAATTGAAACTCCTTGCTATATTTAGGGTGTGGGACACTGCCCGACCTTTTCCTCTTTTTGTGATTCTTCTTGTTGCTCCAATGTTGTTTGTGCAATAAAAACAGGAAGGAGTTGGTGAGCTGGTCACTGTCATTTGGTCAGACGGAGGAAATTTCTTCATCCCTCACCACTGTGCTCTGGCCGCCCCCTCGTTCCAGAAGCAGAGGGGCGTGCCACGGAGGGGACCCCAGTGGCCCCTCCCAGCTACGTGTCTGCCAGGGGCCAGGGCGGCAGACCTGTAACCCCAACTCCCCTTCACAGAAACCCCACAGGGCTGGGATACTGGTCCCCAGTTCATGGATGAGGAAGCGGAGGCTCAGATTTCACAGAGAAGTCACACAGCTGGAACTCTAGCCAAGCCGGGGAACCAGTCCCCAGGTCAGGCCTCAGCGGGTGGGGGACTCACCGTGTAGACAGATTCTGATGGAGGCTGCCCTGGGCTGCTGGTGGCAGTGGGACCCGGGCACTTCTTGGCAGCGTGCTTCCACAGAGCCTTCATCTGTCCCTAGGGGAAAGGAATCAGGGTCATCAGGCTGGGGACCAGCAGCTCCTTTCTCCCCAGACCCCACCAGACCCCACAGAGGAAAGGATGGCAGATATCCATGAGGCCACTCAGAAATTGATCACTCAGTGCCTTCCAGCCACCTTCTCCTGAGAAGCACAATGCATGCATGTGTGCTAAGTCGCTTCGGTCGTATCTGACTCTTTGCAACCCTATGGACTGTAGCCCCCCCAGGCTCCTCTGTCCATGGGATTTTCCAGGAAAGAATACTGGAGTGGGTTGCCATGCTCTCCTCCAGGGGATCTTCCAGACCCAGGGATCAAACCTTCGTCTCTAATGTCTCTTGCATTGGCAGGCGTTTTTTCTTTTTTTTTTACCACTAGTGCCAACTGGGAAACCCAAACATCTGCAAGACCTACATCAAGTCACTCACCTGCTCGGGGATACTAGAAACGATAACGATTCCATCGAGGCACCCCGCCCTCCACACAGGGCCTGGTTCTGGGGAGGCGGGTGCTGCAGGGAGAAAGGGGCCCCGGCTACAGGGCCGATTACTGAGGAGGGCTGCAGAGTGAGCACCAGCCAGACCAGGTGTCCAGTCCCCTCTGTCCCTCACGGGCTCTGCCTTCGCCCCCCTCTGAACCTCAGTTTCTTCAGCAATCACCTCCTTTGATAGAATGTTGCACAGATTCAGGGAGCCGACGAGGAAGTAAGTGCTTAACAAGTGGGTGTCACATAGGTGGCCCTTGGCCAACAACACACACTTGCCAGGCACCTCTGGTGAACCAGGCGGCATGGACACGGGGCCCCATCCCTGGCCTCCGGAGCTTAGGACCCAGTGGAGAGATGAACGATGAACCAGCAGTTTTCCCAAGCGTGGTTCCTGCGCTGACCAACAGGGTCACAGCCTCTGGCTCATGGGAGGAAACAAGCGCCTCGCCTGGCAGAAAGGGGCCTTAACGACCTGAAGGCTGGGGCTCCCCTGGTGGTCCAGGGGTTGAGAACCCACGTGCAGATGCAGGGGGTGCAGGAAGATCCCCGCGCTGCGCGTGCCGTTGAACCTAGAGCCTGAGCACCGCAGCTAGAGAAAGCCCAGGCACGCCAACGAAAACCCAGCACAGCCAAAGATTTTTAAGTCCTCTTAGTTTGGAAGAGAGGAAGGAGAGAAAGAGGCAGCAGCAGGTGCCGGGGCCTGAAGGTCTGGAGAAATGAAAAGATGGTCAGCGTGGTCCGAGACGCGAACCTGCCTGGGATGGATCAGGGCAGCTGTGCCGCGCTGCGAGCAGAGGGTGGATGGTGGAAAATGTCTGAAGGCTGCAAGCAGGACACACTAGGATCAGAAGGCGGCTTCAGAGAGCTCGTGCTGGGTGCTGCGAGAAACTCCAGTGGTCGAGGATGCAGGGACAGTGGGGTTGGGGGGAGCCTCCCAGAAGGCGGGGGCTCTGGGAGCCGGGAGGCCGTGCAGAGGCAGAAGGAGGCTGTCCACACGCCCCCCTCTCATCGCAGGCATCGTGCTGCCAACAGTGGAGCAAGAACAGCCTCATCTCGGGGCAGGAGCTAATTAAAAACCCTGGCTGCCTGCCAGCCCCCAGCCCATTTACTTGGGATTAGCTCTGGAGAGCTACTTAACTCTCAGGCAGAAGCCAGCGCCATCCCCAGTCACAGCATAATAATGGCTCAGGACTAGGATGAAGCCTCACTGGGTGCCAGGTGGGGCTCTAAATGCGCCTGACCTCCTGCGCCCCTCGACAAACCTGCAAGACCAGTCTTCATGGCACCCCTGTTCCACACAGGAGGCTATGAAGGCTCAGGGAGGGCTTGGCAACTTGCCGGAGGCCACAGAGCCAGAAGCGGCAGGGGCAGGATTTGAACCCAGGTCTGTGTGATTGACCAAGATGCTGCCCTGACAGTACCTGGGGTTTTGGATCTTCTGTTTTGTTTGGATGTGTAGGTCTCCCAAACAGACAGGGGCAGGCATTCAGGCAGCACTTTACAGTTTACAAAGAACTTTAGGACTTACTCTTGCTAAGTTGCTAAGTAAATCAAGCCCAACTCCTTGCAATCTCACGGACTGCAGCACGCCAGGCTTCCCTGTTCTCTGTCTCCCGGAGTTTGCTCAGATTCACGTCCATTGAGTCAGTGATGCTGTCTACCCATCTTTTATTGTTACTTAATTCTCATAACTGCCAGAGGAAGTGGGCATGGAGTTCCCGCTTTCCAGAGGGGGAGGTTGAAGTTTGTCCACCTAGTCGGTGACTGCTTGGATCAAACCCAGGTGCCCTGTTCTCAAATCGAGTGCCCCTCCTCTGTACCACCTGCTTCACTGCCAAGGCTGGTGGGTGTGGGTTCATGGGCGGGGGCTCTCCCGGACCCCGTGGTGACAAGACACAGGTAGGCCTGGCCTCGTGGTGCTCCACTGAGGCTGGGGTGGGGGTGGGGGCACCACTGGGAAGGTAAGAGACATTCTGGGGTCACGAGAAGGAGTCCAAGTCTGCCAGGGGCTGGGACGGACTTCTCAGGGCTTGCTTGTCTGTCTGAAGACAGGAGTGGAGCGTGAGAAAGAGTCCAGGCCCTGGAAACAGTGCATTGTGTTACGGTGGAAGTGACGCTCCCTGGAGCCAGCCTGGCCCGCTTGTCCCAGGCCATCAGCGTGTACCCCTCTGACTGTGATTTTCAAATGGATAAGCCATTCAGCTGCTCAGGAAATCTGTAAAGCCTCTGTTTCCTGCTCTGTAAGGTGGGAGCAATACTGTCAGCTTGCCCACCTCATAGCCCGGCCTCCTCGGACTCATCTTTCAGGTCTCAGCGCTCACTTTCTCCATCATTCCTGCCACAAGCACTGCGTGTCAGGCTCCCCCAGGCACCAAGTCTGGGGCTTACGCTCCGGTTGGGGCAGACGGTGGTGACACAAAAACAAGGCTGAGAGGGCGGAGTGAGAAGAAGCAAGCGGAAAACAGGGAGACCCGGACTCTGGGCGAGGGGTGACGGAGGCCTGGGCTGGGGCCTGTGGCCGGATCGCGGGCAGCCTACCGGCAGGACGGGCCCAGGGATCGGCCGTGGGGCGGTGGGGGGACAAACACAGCACCAGGGCTTCCGGTCTGAGCATCTGGGTGTGGTGCTACTTGCTGGGATGATGCTGGCTGCTGGGGACTAAGGAGCACTGTTCCCGACAAAGTGGGTGCAGATGCCCGTGGGCACTTGCACGGAGAAGACATGATCTGGAGCGTGGGAGGGCTCAGGGCAGCCACGCTGGGTGGGGGTGTAATCCCTGGAGCGTAGCAGTCATGGAAGAGTGCAGACAGATGAGGGGAGCTCTGAGGAAGGGGCCTGGGACGTGCCGATGTACAGAGGCCACAGAAATGTGGGTGACCCAGTGCAGGGCTCCCCTGGGGAGTCCAGAACCAAGGATGGAGTGTGCCTTGGAGGAGGGAGACCCGCTGTGTCCGAAGCCCCGCAAGGGGCATGGATGGACCAACGTTGGAGGCTGCCTGCTCTGGGAAGCCCACCTTGACCTCACGCTCAGTGGGAGCCCTCGAACCCGCTCTCAGGACAGGACTCATCTACCCCTTCTGAGTCGGTAGCTCCCGGCTCTGATGCGTTTATCAGATGTGCTCCTGGGGTCTTTGTGCCTTTTCCTCCTCAGCCTGCGTGACAGGCCAGCTGGCCTGTCTCTGGCCGGGGACCCCGCTGCACGCTTTGTTCCTGTGCTCAGCTCAGGGTTCAAACCACGCGGGCCATCCAGTTCTGGGGCAGCGTCTACAGGGTCCACATCCAGATTTGGATGCAGCTCCAGGGAACTCTGGGCAATTCTTCCCCTGTGGTAGCTCCCGACCTTCCAAGTCCTCTCCCCTTCAAGTCCGGGCTCTCACCCCAGTGCCCCCGCCCCCAAGTGCATGAACGACAGTCTGAGGTGCCCTCGCACTGGCTCCCACGGGGGCCAGGCACCAGCTGGCATCTGGCCAATGTGGTCTCTCCCACCCTTTCAGATGGAGGAAGGGATCTGTCCTTAACCCCATTTCTGGAGGAGAAAACTGAGGCTCGGAGAGGGTGGAAGCTTGACAAGAGGGCAGGGGCTACCTCTGTCTTGCTTTCCACGAGGTCTGGCACTTAGGCCAGAGCCTGGCACACACTAGACACTCAGCACCTATTCCCGGAAGGAGGGGAGGGGAGGCGGGAGGGCGCAGGGAAGGAGGTGGGGGTCTCCGAGGCAGTGTGGCAGGGGGAGGGGCTGGGATAGAAGTCAAGCTGAGGCTTCTGAGGTCCGCCCTCTCCTGTCCCCCCCCTTTAGTGACCTCCTACTCTGCACCGCGGCCTCCCTGGCTTCGCTGGACACTGAGATCTAATCATTAAAATCCTTTTCTTTTGGCAGACAAGTGCTGAAGTAGGTCAAGTTCTTGGTCGGACCTCACCCCGCCCCTGGAAGGGAAGGCACACAGCTATGCCTGGGCTGGGCGTCCGCAGGTGGGGGTTAGTCCCTTGGCACCCCTGCCTCAGATTACTGCGTCCAACACCCAGGCTGCCGCCCGGGGGCTGCTCTGGAAGACAGACTTAGAGCCTTCCCGCCTGTCCCTGTCCTTGGAAGAGTCACAGCAGGGAAGAAACATATTGTGGGCCGACCCTCTGAGCCTCACTGTTCAGAGCCGTAAGGTTTTAGAATCTTAGAGAGCTAGAAATGGTTACAAATGCAGGCCTGCAGCTTCCATCAGACATTCGAAGGAACCTGAGGCCGCGGAAAAGACTCAAGAGTCCTGACCTCCCGCAACAAGATCAAAAAGGACCTGGTGGCCATGGGGGTGGGGGTGGGTCGAAGTGGGGGTCCCTGGGGCAAATAGCCCCGAGAAGCACCTATTCCAGGCACCCCGCCTGGGGGAGGGGGTGTCCCCAAGCCACGGTGAGTGGGGTGGGGGCGGGGTTGCCGTGGGTCCACGTCCCCTACCTTCTTCCAGAGAAGCAGGGCCGTGGCCAGGATGCTCAGGACGGCCAGGATGCCGACGAAGCAGGAGAGCAGGAGCTTCTGGGGGCCCTGGGGGGGCTCCTGGTACCCTGTGTCTGGGTGAGGGCAGGAAAGCAGAGAGGTCAGCTGTCTGGAGAGGTGCACCCCACCCCCAGCCCTCCTTACAACTCTCCCCGACTAGGACCCCCTGGACCCCACCTCTGCTGAGCCCCTCCGCCACCCCACACTCGCCTTGGCCGAGCCCCCTCCTGTGTTTGCTGCCTAGATTCTTGGCAAGGGGAAGGACGACACCCTTTGCTCCTTAGGTGCCCCTGCTCAGGGCACTGGCTCCACTGAGAGGAACTTCTGGGGCCTGAGTGGGTCACGTCACCTCCTGGGGCCTCCTCCTTTCCACCCATGATGTAGTGATCACATGGGCAGGAGCGGTGAGGTAAGCAGGGGTGTGGGGGAGTCTGTACCAGGCCTGGCAGGTGCTGCCCTGCACCAGGGGTAGGTGAGGGCACAGTCCAGCCGTTTCCCTTGAGCCACCCGTCCTTTTGTCCACCCCTTTCTCCCTCCATCCCTCCTTCCATGTGGTGGACCAAAGAAAGACAGAATGCCAACCACATGGCAGGCACATGTGTGTCGGGCTCACCCAGAACATCCTGCCACCAGGCACTAGCCCTTGCATTCAGGATCCCTCTCATCCCAAGAAAAGCCTCTGATAGGTGGGGTGTTGCCATGAAGAGCAAGTCCAAGGTCACGTCCTGGCAAGCCGCAGGACTGGGGGGCCCAAGGCCAGGTCCGTGGCCGCATGAAACCCTGGCACAACCAGTGGGAGTGGCAGAGCTGGGTCAGAGGGTCATGACTTCGGTGATGGGCTGTTCTTATTAACTTCTGGGAGTCATTACTCACTCCTCTGAGAATGTGATGAAAACTAGGAATCTAACCCCAGAAAGGGGTCCACGAGCTACGTGCTCGCTCACAGGTCTCCACAAACACACACAGGCCCCCAAGCTCCGTTCCGCACTCACAAGACCCGTGGTGTGAAAGGGACCCCGAGGACAACGGCCTGCCAGAGGTGGCCAGAGTCGACCCATATCCCAGACTCTGCCCTTTCCCAAGAAGGCGGGCATCTCGGCTCACGTGTGTGATCAGGGGCTTCTGGAGGCGGTTCGGTTCTGCTGTGCCACAGCTGAGTGGTGAGGCAAACATCCCCCACTTTTGCTCCTATGCCCCCAAAGTCTGCCGGACCCTGTGCCCGGGTTAGAGCCACGGAGGAAGCTTACCTCTGACCAGGATGAAGGTGCCCTTGCCCATCATCTTGAAGTCTGGCCAGAGCACGGAGCAGTAGTAGGTACCGGTGGCAGACGCGTTAGGCGGCTTGAGGGTGATGGGACAGACAGTGGTGTGGGTCTGGTTCTCACTGCCCGTACCAGGTTGGCAGCTGATCTTCTCCTCGGAGCTGGTCCGGCCCTGGAGGTCCACGTGGAAGTATCTGACTATGAAGTTCTTGAACTCGGGGGTGTAGGGGTAGGTGATGCTGCAGTGGAAGGAGACGGCCTTGTTGGCCAGACAGACCAGAATGGGGAGGCCGGTGTGGGTCACGGACCGCTCTTCTGCCGGGGAAGGAAAGGGACAGAGTGGCAGCTTCAATCCCCCTGTGTCCCCATGAGAACCGAGGCTCATGCTCGCCACGCGCTCCATGGGTGCGGGTGGCATGCCAAGCGCTTTTCACATACAACTCTACACTTCCCAACATGCCCAAGGCTGAGTGCATAAGGGCTCCGTTTTGCAGGAGGAGTCTGGGCTCAGGGGGTCCAACTGCTAACTCTCAGTCTCTCAGGATGTGTGGAGGGCAGCTGCAACCCTGCCTGGGGGCTGGAAGACACCAGACCCCATGCTCCCAATGACCTTCCTTCCCAAAGGTCAAGAAGCCACGTTGGGTAAAAAGCACAGGCCTGAGATGACCCAAAGCTGGAGAAGGAAGAGAAGCAAAGAGGAAGGAGGCAAGAAACCAAATGAAGAAACGCTTCCTGGCAGGAAGAAGCCCTTCTGGGCATAGGCACGTTCTCCCCAGCCTGGAGGGACTGTAGCCCACCAGGCTCCTCTGTCCATGGGATTTTCGAGGCAAGAGGACTGGAGTGGGTTGCCATTTCCTTCTCCAGGGCCTTTCATCAGAGGCACCTAGGAAAACAGTCTGAAAGCTCCCCCAAGGCAGGAGTCTGCCTGGCTGGGCGTCCCACCCTCCTGCAGGCCCTGAGGTGCCCGTCAGATTCTGGGCTGGGTCAGCAGCGGCCACCTCCCCACCCCAGGACTTCAGCTGCCCAAGCCCCCCAGCTTCAGTGCGCTGTCCCCCCCGCCCGCCCTGCACCTTCCTCCGCCCGCAGCCAACCAGCAGACGGTGCTAAATTGAGGTCGGCAGCGAGCCACCGAGAACATGCTGGCCAGGTTGTTAATCGGGAGAAGATCATTCGTTGGAGCCACTCGTTGGAGCGAGCAGCAGGATTTATTTGGTTGCAAAGTGAGGCGTGGGCCCCCCTGCCTGCCTGTAGGGGGTGTGAGGCTGGCAAGAAGCCAGGCCGGTTTCTTCTCCAGTCTCCAGCTCAGCCCTGGGCTGGGTCCCCAGGGGAGTGAGGTCAGGCTCCCTGGGGGACCCCAGGACCGGGACGATGGCCCTCCACACCCGATAATTCCTCCAAGCTTGGGCCACACTGGTATTTGGAGCTTCAGGGAAGAAGCTAGACACCCTCTCCCCTGACGGACTCAGGCTAGTCCCAGGGGATCACGGGCATGTCTGGATGTCACAGTGGGTGGGCTTTGTCACACGTGATGCTCATGCATGGAGACCCCACTGAGCCGACCCCAGGGGCTCCCCCTCGGGAGAGGGGGAGGGGAGAGGACTTTACATTGCACTTTATCTCTGGGCTGGTGGTGGTGACTGTTTAACTATAATAATATTTTAGTTTTGTTATAAAACAAGGAGCCTTGAGTTAGGGCTGAGGTTTAAGGCACAGCAGGGACAGGGTGTGGCTACAGCAGCTGCAGGAAGGGGTGGTCAGCGATCCCCCAGGGTCCCAGCTGGGCTGGGAAGGACAGGGAGGAGATGAAGAGTGCTCACCACCACCCCCCAGCAAGCCCACCCTATGTCCTTTCTGCATACACAGGCCACCACCCCGCTCTGCAGCCCCCTCTGCCCAGACCAGCCCCCCTCCCCCGGCCAACGCCTCCCTAGTCCCCTGAGGCCAGCTCAGGAACCACTTGCAACCTTTACACATCTCCTCCCGTCTGGTTCTCGCAATGAAGCTTCGAGGCAGCCGGGCAAGCACAGTGACAGCCTGGTTTTTCCCCCTGGGAGTTGGGAGGTTTGAAGCCAACCAAAAGTGAAGTGAAAGTGATAATCGCTCAGTGGTGTCCGACTCTTTGTTACTCCGTGGACTGTAGCCCACCAGGCTCCTCTGTCCATGGGATTGTCCAGGCAAGAATACTGGAGTGGATAGCCATTCCTTTCTCCAGGGGATCTCCCCGACTCAGGGATCGAACTCAAGTCTCTCCCATTGCAGGCAGATTCTTTACCATCTGAACCACCAGGGAAGCCTGGAACCCAACCAAAACCACCAGGAAAGTGGCCTCATTGAGGCCTCGCCCCCTCCCCCAGCACCTCCTCCTCTCCTGTATCCAAGAGGTCATGCCATGCCGGGGAGGCTGGCCATGCGGTCATCATGTTGGGGCCACCTTCTTGTTTGTCCCAGCAGGAAGACATCCATCCAAGTGCCATAAAAAATGATCCCCATTTGAGGAATGCTTCTAGAAAATGCTAGTGCAATTAAGCCCATCTTTACAATTCTGGGGAAATCTATAAAAATAGATGACCACTGTTCTGTATTCTTCTGGGATTCGTTATTTTAAGGTCAGAGGGATGGGATTGTGGAAGGGGCTGGCTTTGGCTCAGGTCTGCCGCAGAATGAACCCCAGATCTGGGGTGGATCTGTCTCCAAAAATGTGGAGGGATGAGGCCGTCTCTGTGGACCAGTGAGGGTGGCCAGTCAGGAGACGGCGGGCCAAGAACAGAGAGGAGGAAGGCCTGCTGTTTGAGGAAGGCAACTGGGTTCTGACCCGATGATGGAGCTAACTGCCTCCAGCGTCCCTTCTTTTTATTGGGGTGTCAGTACCCCAGAGCCTGGACCATAGCAGCCCAGCTCCCCCCACTTCTCCTGGATCAGTGCCTCCAAGCAGCCCCTCTGGGGTCCAGGCTGCTCCAACTGGTGGCCACCTGAAGCATTCCACAGTTCAGGCTCAGAGCCACAGGCAGGTTCAGAGTGATTTCCGAGTCCACAACGGCTTTTCAGCTACCATCTGTTCACACCTCCAACAAACATTTAAGAGTACCTAAGGAAATGGCAACCCACTCCAGTACTCTCGCCTGGAAAATCCCACGGACGGAGGAGCCAGGCAGGCTACAGTCCATGGGGGTCACAAAGAGTCAGACACAACTGAGCGACTTCACTTTCTTTCTTCCTTTCATTTAGGGACTTCCCTGGTGGTCCAGTGGCTAAGACTGTGCTTCCCATGCAGGGGGCCCCGAGTTCGATCCCTGGTCAGGAAACTAGAGCCCATGTGCCGCATCTAGGAGTTCGAATGCCTCAACAAAAGACCCTGCAAGTATCATGAATCTCGAAGAGCCTATATGTCACAACTGAGACTCAGAGCACCCAAATAAATGAATTTATATTAAAAAATAAAAAGATCACCTTAAGGCCCAGAGGAGCTCCCTGCCCTTGAAACGTTCCCAGTCTAACAGGGCAGCAGAGGGAGCCAGGGGAGGGCACCATTAATTGAGACTGGGGAGGACAGGAAGGGGTAGTGGTATCCTAGAGCGTGGGAGCAGGAACACACACATCCAGTGAGGCCAGAGTGGGCCCGGGGACAGAGGGAAAAGAAAGCATGCAAAAATATCCCCTGGCTGGGTGTGACCCAGGCCCTATGTCAACTAAACATCGTGGCATTCCTATGAGGCAACTACGACAACCCCATGTTGCAGATGAAAAGAAAACAGAGGGTCTTAGAGGTCCAAAGCCCCAGATTTCCTAAGCAGTGGCATTGGGATTTGAACCCAGGTTTGTCTGACCGTGCTAAGGAAGAAAAGCCAGCTGCCAGGTTAGGAAGTGAGGTCAGACCCAGCCAAGTGTGACGGTGCTGGGCTGTGAGTGCTCCGGGTGGCGCCAAGCACAGTGACATCAGATGATAGAAAGGGGGCTGCTGGCAGGAGGCCTACGTTCTCACAGTTGGAGGCTAACAAGGGGCTGCAAGGCTGCAAGGTTACAAGGAAACCACGGGCCAGAGAGCACGGGTGAAGCGGGGCTTGGACAGAGCTGCCAGGGCACCCAGCCTGCCCTGTGGGGGCCTGCTTCTCACCCTAGATGCAGTGTGTGTGTGTGTGTGGGGGGGTTCCTGAGGACCCTCACTGAGCTTGAGGTGTGATGCTGAGTGCCGCGGGGATGGCATACTGGCTGGTGTCTGTTCTGTCTCAAGCCTGGTGTCAGCTGCTGCTTCCCGCTTTGCCTTTAATTCAGCAAAGGGAGTGTGTCTCCCAGCAGACGAAGTGGGCTGGGGCCACGTGAGCCAGCCTGGGGGTTCCCTTAGATTCACGGGCTGCCAAGAGGGGCAAAGGGCCCCGAGAGGAAGACAGGGGTGGGCCTTGGATTCCTGAGGCAGTGGCAGGAGGGAGAGCTGCAAGAGCCCAACTGGGGGCCAAAAGGGCGTCCATTCCACACCCCTGCAAGTGCCCAGAGACAGGGCCCCATGTCCTCAGCACCTGATGGGCAGGGCTTCTCTGCTTCTTCCAGCTCCTCCAGGCTCCTGCCTCCAGCTGGTGGACCCTGTAGCGGGGGTGGGGGAGGTTGGTGAGGGGGTTTGAGGAGAGAGAGAGAGCCAAGAGGGCCCTCACCCCTTACTCTCACCCCAGATGGCGCCAGGGATGAGTTCAGTGGGAACTGGCTCTGAATCTTGGCTGGGACTCGAAGAACTAGGACTCGTTTGCGGCTGTAAATGACCGCAGCGCTCCGATTCGCTCAGAATGGCTGGCACAGCTCCAGAAGCATCTCCGCAAGAGGTCTGGGCTGCAGGAGCATCCCAGAGTAGATTTGGGGTTATTCTGTGCACCCCCAGTGCAGCCTAGACTGGGACAGGCACCGGGAGAGAAGTGCTTCAAGGAGTCTGGCGTTGTTTTCTGCAGGGGGGACAGGCTGGTGGCAGAAGGGAGGAGGAGCTGGAGGCGACTGCTCTTTCCGGCGCAGATCTAAAAGACGCAGGGAGAATCTGAAGGTCGGTTCCAGGGGGAGTTTTTCTGACGGGAGAATTGTGAGCCTATGTCAGTGTGGGTGGTGCAGGGCCAGAGGAGGGGCACCCCTGCTGGGTGAGGTCCATGGCAAGTGGGAGCCGGCTGGGAGCAGGGTCAGCCAGGGAAGGACTGGGAGACAGTTGCAGTGGGGTGTCTGGGAGGGCCCTGATCCCCAGGAGCACCACCCCAGCTCAGCCCTGCTGGAGAGCTTGGCTGCTTATGACAAATCCCCGAGTCCTCCTCTCCCCACCCCCACACAACTGCAAGGACAGAAGCTTG